TGCCTTCGGGTCCTAGACTCTCCCACGAGGGGAAACATCCTCTCAGCATTTACCTCGCTAAGCCCCTTAAGAATTCTATATGTTTCAAGATCACCTCTCGTTCTTTCAATCTCTAATGAGTCAAGTTCGAATCTGTTTAACCTTTGCTCATAAGGCAATTCCCAACTGTCTCCTATATCTTTTCTTAAATAAGGGGACCAAAACTGTTCGTGGTACTCTAGATGTGGTATCACCGGCACCTTTTATAACTGCAATAAGACTTGACTCTTATTCCCCAAATTGCTTGAAATAAGGGCTAACATTGCATTAGCCTTCCTGATGACCTGCTGCATGTGTGCTATCTTTCTGTGTTTTGTGCACAAGTACCCTTAATTCCCTTTGACTTTCAGCTTTCTGTACTTTTTCTCCATTTAAATAATACTCTTTTGTTCTCCCTTCCAAAATGAACAACTTTGCATTTTGCCCTACTACATACCATTTGCCAAGTTCTGTGCATTTAACCTATCAATTTCTCTTTGTAAATCGTTTATGTCCCTTTCGCAACCTGCCCTTCCACTTATTCTTATGTCATTTGAAAATCTGGCTATAGAACATTCACCCCAAATCATTAATATTAATTGTAAACAGTTGCAGTCTCAACACCATTCCCTGTGGAACTGCCCACTGGTCACAGGTCACCAACCTGAAAAAGAACCCTTGTCTCCACTTGCTGTTTGCTGCCCAATAGTTAACTTTCTATCCATGCCAGTATACTATCGCCAACACAGTGGACCCTTGTCTTATGGCTTAGCCTTTTGTTGAACATCTTCTGGAAGTCAAAATACAACCTAACTATTGGTTCCCCTCTATCCACCCTGGTTGAGACTTCCGTTAAAAAACTCTAACATATTAGTCAAACACGAATTTCCTTTCATGAAGCCATGATGACTTTGCTTGATTAGATTATGGTTTTACAAACATTTTATTATTTCCTTAATAATTGATTCCAATACTTTTCCAAATATAGATGTTAGGCTGATGGCTCTTCAGTTTTTCAACAAGAGATGTCACATTCGCAGTTTTCCAATCCTCTTGTACTTCTCCATATTTCAACAATTTTTGGAAAATTACAACCAATACATCCACCACCTCTCTTAGGATTTTAGGATGCAAACCATCAGGGCCAGGGGTCTTATTTGCCTTTAGCCTCCTTAATTTGTCTAATACTACTTCTCTAGTGATGATATTACTTAATTCCTCCCCCGTATTCTTTATTATTAGTGGGAGGTTCGAATGTCATGCACCATAAATACTGATGCACACTTTCTGTTTAACTCCTCTGTCATTTCCTTGTTCCCCATAACTAACTCCGCAGATTCATTTTCTAAGGGGCCTATGTTCACTTCGATCTCTCGATATTTAAAGAAGCTCTTGTTGTCAGTCTTCTTATTCTACACTTGTTTGCCCTCAGTTTATTTTCTATTTCTTTATTATCTTTTTCATTCTCTTTTGCTGGATTCTGAATTTATTGGAGTCTTCAGGACTATCGCTGACTTTTGTCTCCTTATATATGCTTCGGTTTCAATTTTATATTCTCCTTAACTTCCCTCTTAGAATCTTATCCTCCTTTCTGGGATGTATTTTTGCCAAGAGTCAAATTATCTCCTTAAATGTCTGCCATGTTTATTTACTGTCATTCTTGCTAATCTATCTGCTCAGTTCACTGTATTCTCATTTCTGTGTAATTCCCTTCTTGAAGTTAAACACAGTTGTTTCCTATCCAAGTTGCTCATTCTCAAACAGTGTACTAAATTGTATCATGTTATAATCACTACTTCCTAGGGGATCTTTTACTCTGAGGTTATTTGTTAAACCTGCCTCATTATCCATTACCATTTCCAAGTTAGCCTGGTCAAGTCCTCTCTGGATTTTATATTTTTCAATTAAGTCACCTCCGATTCTTCTAAACTCCATTTGGCACAGGTTTAGCCTTTCCTCATTTTAAAGCAATCTGCTCATTTCAGTAAAAACGTTTCTGAGGAAGGGACACCGGACCCTAAACGTCAACACTGAATTTTTTCTTCACTGATGCTGCCAGACTTGCTGAGTTTTCTAGCAACTTCTGTTTTTGTTCTTGTTCATTTCAGTTATTAGTCTAGTAAACTTTCTCTGAATTGCTTCCAGTGCATTTAACATCCTTCTCCAAGTATAGTGACCAGACGCTGTCTCACCAAGGCGTGCATAACTGAAGCATAACCTCCCTATTCTTGCATTCAATTCCACTCGTAATAAATCATATCATTCTATTAGCTTTCCTGATTACTTGCTGTAACTGCACACTAACTGCAATTCATGCACTAGGACACCCAGACATCTCTGCATCTCAAAGCTCTGCAGCATCTTCTTTATTCTTTCTACCAAAATGGACAAATTCACACTTTCCCTTTTTCCACTTGCCATATCTTTGCCAACTCACTTAATCCTTTAGAAGTTTCTTCTGTCTTCTTCACAATACACTTTAGTACCCATCCTTGTGTAATTAGCAAATTTATCCACCTTACCTGCAGTTACTTCATCCAAATCATTTGTAGAAATAGTGAAGTGTTGAGGTCCCAGCACCGACGCCTATGGTGCATCCTGTGTGACAGCCTGCCAGGCTGAAAAGGATCCATTTATTCCTATTCATTGCTTCTTGTTATCCAGCCAACCTTCTATCCATGCTAATATGTTACCCCTCAACATCATTTTCTGTAATAACCTTTAACGTGACACCTATCAAATACTTTCTGGAAATCTAACTACATTACAGCCATTTGGTGGCATGATGGCTCAGTGGTTAGCACTGTTACCTCAGTGCCAGGGACCCGGGTTTGATTCCAGCCTTGGGTGACTGTCTGTATAGAGTTTGCACATTCTCCCAGTGTGTGCATGGGTTTCCTCCAGGTGCTTTGGTTTCCTGCCACCGTCCAAAGATGTGCAGGTTAGGTGGACTGGTCATGCTACACTCAAAAAGCCATCACCCTAAAAAAACCTTCCAGATTGATGAGGTCACAGCTAACCTGTTTCCATTAAATATTTACAGACATTCATTGACAAGTAATACAGTACTTCAGTGATTTCAATTGTCTTGGCTTCCAGTTAACTGGACACTCCTTTGTTTGTAAGTTTAAAACTATTTTGCCCATGCTACACCTTCCTTGAACCCTGCAGATGCCTGCCTCAGCAGAAACAGAGGTGGCTTTCAGTCCCAGAAAAAACATGGCTGGCTCCCAGTCTTCACCTGGCAACTCCCTCATTGACAGCACTTCTTTCCTGCCTAAACTACTCCCTTTTCCTCCAGTCACAGGCTGTTGTTTTCATGACTCCATCAGAAGCAAGCATGAGCACAAATCAGCCTTTGCTTGATTTTCTTCATTGCACTTAGGCGGCAACTATTTGCTGTTCAGACACCCCGCAAGTCAATTTTTTCTGGGTGATTTGTACATCGTCATCTCTTCCCCCACCGATGTTTTGGGCTCTGTTATGTACAAAGGGCTCCTGAGCAGAAAATTTGTCAAGCTTTTAATAGGAATGGAACTGAAACAGGAAGGTGGTCTCATAGACAAAATGAGTTTATAGAAGTCATGGATGGAACAGATAGGAGAGAAAACAGAAATAAACCTTTGGTATAGAGTAAGGGATGACATGAGGGACAATTTTGGTTTTGTGGGTAGAGGTGGAAAGGCAATAAGAAAGAGAGGAAAGGCAGCTGAATGAATAGTCTATCTTGGTGATGAATGTTTTGCACTTCTAACTGAAGGTACAAAAACACAGGGGGAAAGACAGGAACAAATAGGCTGTTGAAGCCTTCATGCCTGTTCTGTTCAATTACATTATGCCTGATCCGTATTCATTCGGTTTTGGAAATAACAACTGTTTTTAAAGTTCTGAATAACACTAATCCATGGTCCTCCAAGCAACCTTCAGAAAAATTGCTCTGTATTGTCGATTCAAGTGGAAGAACATTTGACAAAATAACATTTACATATGCAATGACATAAAGTCAAACAAGAAATTTTCTAAGTAAATGCCAATTGTCTGCATTGTGATATAGGTGTGCATTATGCTAAAAACATAGGTGTGGTCAAGCTTGTGCTATTTAGAGCAGATATCAAATCAGCAACATATAACAAACAAGCTTATTCAACTGCAGTTGGATTTGCAGCAGCACAGTTTTTGTGATGCAGACTGAACAGGACAGTGACACTAACAAAACAAACCTTGCAACACGAGAAATATTCGTCTTGGCCCATAAAGTCAATTCCAAATAGGTCACATAGGTGGTTATCTATTTCCCTGTTCAATTTAATTAAAAAATGTGCAGACACATTAGAATCGGCTTTTGTAAATTCTTAAGCAAAATAGTTTCACTTTTTAGGTAACTTATTTATATTCTTCCACAAATAAACCTCTGCTCAGGGATTTTCTGCAAACAAAACTGCATCACCAGTCAATTAACTTACCTTCACATCACGGTGAATGATATTATTGTCATGACAATAGCGTAGTGCTTCTAGTATCTGTCGCATGTAGTGACTACAAATACAAAAAAAGTTAGAATTATGCATATCTCTAGGAGTTGGCAGCAAAGAACAGTACATACTATGTAATAATTTAACTTCAAAGTTGTACCATAACACTTTTAATCAGTTCAACATGCCAATGCTCACAGGGAAATGCAACAGAAGACCGAACCAATGTGTCTCTTGTCTTCTCGGGTCCAAATATTTGCATATCCTACAAGACAGTGAGTGGTATTGCCAGAAATTTCCTACCCATCCTTACAATAAAGTTCTGGCCCGTGTTTTATATCTTTTTCTATATGATGCTAAGCAGAAGCTTGCATCTTATACCATGGCACAGTGTGTTATTACTCCAATGTGTTGCATCACCATCATGAAACATGACTGCTGCATCATGAGGACAATGTGTAGCAGAAAACTGAAATGTATTCATATGTAAACCAACTTTTAATGCTCAAGTCAAAATACAATTATTAAAAACACAAAAGGTTCATTTTGTATTATAAAACAGTTCTTCACATCACGGTGAATGATATTATTGTCATGACAATAGCGTAGTGCTTCTAGTATCTGTCGCATGTAGTGACTACAAATACAAAAAAAGTTAGAATTATGCATATCTCTAGGAGTTGGCAGCAAAGAACAGTACATACTATGTAATAATTTAACTTCAAAGTTGTACCATAACACTTTTAATCAGTTCAACATTCACTAAAACCACATGTCACACTTACAGCACCATCCAATACTTACTTGAGATCAGATACAACATTGCAGGAGATGACAGATATTAGATTTCTTTCCATTCAACTCACAGGATATTTCCAAAACCTTGTGAAGAAACATCCAGAAATATTTTGACATTTTTACCTAAAAATGCGGCCACTGTATAGAGTTTTAAATGCATTCTGTATGTTCAGCGTTCCCTGGAAGTAAGGAAATATGTAATTTGCTAACTGATTAATTAATAGTTGATTAATAATAGAACTCTCTCAAGTATTCTGGAGTTTGATAGCTACCAAGATGAACAAAAGTTTTTGTCCTGTCCACAGAATGTTTGAGCCTTCAACAGATCAACCATATTCCCCTCTGATTTGTTATTTTCAAAGTGGAAAACATTTTAGCACTGATTTTCCAGACATTTTAGATTTGTCTTTTGCAAGCAAAGCAAATTCTCAAGAAAGGCCTTATCCAAACAAAGCAACATAAGCTTTATACCACAGAACATGGTTAAGTAATCTCTTGCATCAAAACAAGAGCTTGTGAAGTAACAATGGAGTACAAAACATTTAGCACACAAATGCATTGCTCAAAGTTATATTAAATTACTTAAACTCAAAATATATTCCTGCAGCATGACATCATAAAATACTCCTGATACATAGAATTGTGACAGGATTCTCAATTTCCTACCACCTCACCTACTTCGTTGCTAAACCAGTTACTAAAAACAGGAGATTTTGAAGCTTGGAATTTCTGATGTAATAGTATCTGAAGATATGACAAATTTATCACTATCCTATTCTAAAGGATTGAAACTAACTTTGTTTGATGACTGGATTAAAATTCTTTAGGTTAGATTTGTAGCACTTTAAATAGGGGTTTTTCCACCTACCTTCCTTTAATACAACAGAGGCTAGAAAATTAAGGAACATGGGACAGGTTCTGGAGTAGGTGGAGGCACTCCTAAAAAGTGAATTTTGATATCATTTGGCATGACCTATACACTGAGTGATCCACTTTATCATTTCATTTTAACTCAAAATTAATGTATATACTTGCACATACATTTTCGTATCTTCATTTTCCTTATTAGGCTTAGATATAGAATTTTGTCAAATAATTTCCTTCTCAAAATCCAAGTACACTGTCTCAGTAGACAAATAAATGCATCTAACTTAAAATGAAAAAATGGAATTGCCATCTATTACTAAGCAAAGTATTGTGTAGTTTGGTAAATATCTAGTCTGAGAAGATAATTAAAATTGCAACTATCAATCAAGTCAAGAGTTGGATCATATTTGGAAACAAAGTTTATAATATAGTTAGACTCTGGTTAAAATTTCATTACGTGCCATGAAACAGTTACCTTTTACAAATAGTGCAGCTGCTAATTCAGTTCTGTGGCTTCACAGGATAATTCTAGTCTACTACAAGAACAATTCTACACTAATTTCACTTTAACCAACAGTTTTATTGAACAGTAATAAAATAGTCAACTGAGAAAAATAACACACTTTTAAACTGAGTTACCTTTACTAATATCTTATAAAACAGTAAATAATGGTTTTTTTGTATAATAAACTGAAGAACTGCAAAGGCTAGAAATCTGAGCATCCTAATAACAATTTACTTACACTATACTACAAAATTTTTTTTTTTTTTTAAAAATAGTTTTCTTACCAGCTAAGAAATTGACTTCAATCAAATGAAGGCCAGATGGCTTTGAAGACTCAAGCAAATATGATTTTAAAAGAATGCTGGCTATTCATTGCGATTGGTACTTTGTGACATTAGAGGATTGCTTTCTAAGTAATTAATTCTCACAAGTACATTTATTTGCCAGTCTTCAGAGGGAATCAAAAATTTCCCAACAAAGTTCTCTTTTGAATTTTGCAAATTCAAAGTAAAGCATTTTCAATTGTTGAGGCCTAATGTAAAATCTTTTTTCCCCCTTCACCTTTTGAATTCTAAATATCAATTAAGCTGATGCCAACAAAAACGGAGAAAAATTGTTTACAATTTTTACAAATCAGATTAAGGAATGGAAGGAACTGTTCTCAAATCTGCTCACAATACAAAAATAGGTAGGAAAGTAAGTTGTGAAGAGGACATAAGGAAGCTACAAAAAGATATAAATAGGTTAAGTGAGTGCGCAAAGATGTGGCAATTGCTAGATGATATGGAAAAATATGAAAATACCCATTGTGGCAGGAAGAATTAAAAAAGCCACGAGAATTCTTCACTATGATGAGTTGCTTTGCATACTTGATAACAGTGATGGACACCACCTGTCTGTTTGAGATAATGCCAGAATGAAAATAACATTGGAATAAAGAAAATTTAATCCCAGAGATGGTAGATCTTTATGGACCACTTTTTTTTTTTAAGAGCTTAGCAGTGAGCACTGTCACTTTGTTATTGTCCTAGAACTCTAGGCTTCCAATAAGAAAATCTCATTTTAGTAATTGCGAATTATTTTGAAACTGTTCCCCAACTGCATTTAAAAAAAAACACCATGCAAGACAAATTTTCGTTGGCTACAAAGACGGAAATTTTATAAACTTCATAAGAATTAAGAAATACCAATCAAACAGCCCTCCACTGCTGCTTGTAACCCCAACACTCTTGTAAAGAACTTGAAGTTATCTTTTCACTTGAAATAAACTTTTGGGCCTCATGATGTGGGCAAAGCTGCTGTCACCACATTAACTGCCCAGTCGTTTTTGTCCACTCCTAGCTACCCCTGAACAATTCCAGTGTTGAATTAAGTAATCTGAGTGAATTAAGAGTGAAGCATTTATTGTGGAGCTGGAGTAATATAGACTTGATTCAGATATGACTGGTTTTTGGTGACTGAACACGACCAGACATTGGAGTAAATTTGCTACTTACTTGTGAGGGAACTATATATAACATCTGAGTTCATAAAAGAAGGTTTCTAAGAACACACAAAAATGTAAAAGGAATGTAAAAAGTGTCAGTCAACCTGAACTCTGGAAAGAAGAAAAATCAATGCCATATGAAACTTTCACAAGATAGTATTCAGTAACTGAGATCTATGCTGTCAATGCTACAGCTAGGGAACAGACATTTGGAATACAACAAATAGATTACTGTTGATCTGAATTTGTTCAAACCCTTTCTTACTGAAGGTTGAGCAATAAATTTATCAAGTAACTTATTTGGATTTTGTTTCAGAATGCAACTAGAGACCACCACATAAAGTTAACTTTGTTTGACAATTAAGGATATGTAAAATCTTGTTCTCACATTAGAATTATTGAATTAATTCAAGTTGAAATGTAATTTATTTGAAATTGAATTTAGGCTGTATGACGATAGGACTCTCCAGATTTATTTTTTTGCTTTGATGTGGACCAGGCTGGATTTATGAATTCCTAGCATTTACAACACAGAATGAAATTACTATGCACTCAGACAGGTAAAAGTTAATCAGTGTCAATCAACTCAGATTTAGAAAAGGAAGACTGTACCTATAAAATTATGTAAATAACAAAATAAATTTGGGAATGCACTACACATGGATTTTCAGAAGTGTCTGGTGAGACTCAGCAAATACAAATGCATTTGTCAGGAGACATGTGGTTATAGAGCTGAAAAAAATCAAAAAACAAACTATATGGGTAAAGTGAAGTTTTCAGATTGCAAATCAGAATCACAGGTGTGATAAGTACTGTTCCACTGTGCTTGTGCACTTTGAAAGAACATCTGAAACCTACCTGTAAGTTTTTCACAAGAACATTGAAAGAAGGACAGACATAGTCAGAGTTATACAGCACAGAAACTGACCCTTCAGTCCAACTCATCTGCGCCTACCAGATATCTCCATCTGACCTAATACCATTTGCCAGCATTTGGCCCATATCCCTCTAAACCCTTCCTTTTCATATACCCATCCAGATGCCTTTTAAATGCTGTAATTGTACCTGCCTCCACCACTTCCCCAGCAGTTCGTTCCATACATGCACCACCCTCTGCAAGAAAAAGTTATCCCTCAGGTCCTTTTTGAATCTTTCCCCTTTCACTTTAAACCTATGTCTTCTAGTTCTGGACTCACCCACCCTGGGGAAATGACGTTGGCTATTCACCATATCCATGTCTCTCATTATTTTATAAGCTTCTACAACGCTACCCCTCAGCCTCCAATGCTTCAGGGAAAGAAGCCCTAACCTATTCAGCCTCTCCCAATAGCTCAAACCCTCCAGTCCTGGCAACGTCCTTGTAAATCTTTTCTGCACTCTCAAGTTTAACAACATCCTTTCTATAGAAGGGTGACCAGAATTATACGTAGCATTCCAAACGTGGCCTCACCAATGCCCTGCACAACCGCAACATGATATCCCAACTCCAATAGTCAATGTTATGATCTATGAAGGCAAGCCGAGGTAGAAAGAAAGGGTATTAGCATTTCTATACTACCTATAATTAGGAATTTCCTTTTTCGGAAAGGCAATACTGCAGCGAATTGAGGAATAGCAAGGTCCAGTAAACAGGAAGTAAAATAATTGATTAATCAATCTGATTTGGGGATGTTGGCTCAGAGGTTAACCACAACACCATGGAAAACTCTCTCTGTTCATTTAAAGATCACTTTTTATGTGAAAACATCTGACTTATCCATTAAACAGTAATTCAGTTAATTAAATAAATAAGCACAAGTGTTTTCTTTCTCCGCAATTTTAATTAAACTTTACAGATTCAATTCAACATTAAACCAAAGTATCATGAGATTTTAACATTCTCCTCAACAGGTATGCAAGCAGAATATCTATTTAACATTGCAATCAAAACAGATTCACAGACAACACAATGATCTTAATTAAATCATTCCAGATTCGTATT